GGCCCCGGAAACTCTCCGCCATAAGGTTAATGGCCTCCGAAGACCCCTGGCGTAGTGTCGAGAACCGGCCCTGAACTCTCCCCAGAGTGATGGCCTCCGAAGACCCCTGGCGTACTGTCAGAAGTGGGCCCCAAAACTCTCCCCGATAATGGCCTCCGAAGACCCCTGGCTGTACCGTGTCAGAATGTAGCCCCAGAACCTCCCGTAGTGTCCGTCTCCCCAGAACGCCGGCGCTCAGGGATGACCCTAGTCCCCAGTGTTTGCACGTCCGCGACCCCTCACGTGTCAAATGGTCCAGAGTGGACGTACGTCAGTTCCAGAGCTCCTGAGTAAACGTCGTACCACCTCCACGTGTCATGGGTAAACAAGAACTCTCACCTAGAGAGATCGTCCGAATACGCCTGCGCGTACTGTCAGAAGTAGACTCTCCGCCATTCCTACGGCCTCCGATGACCACAAGTACACACCCATGAGGTCTCTACCGACCGGATTTAGCATATGTAGTCAGAAGGAGTTCGTGTTCTCGTCGTCACCGTCGATGCTAAGGACCCAAACTCGACGTCAATGTGACTGCCAGTGCAGGCTTCCCCAGCCGTTGGGTGCCGCCGTGGCATTGGTCACCTGGATCCTTGTATTCACTTTATTTCACACGTTTATAAATTTTAACATAAAAGTTCTAGGGGACTTGCTCTGACGGCCGGTCTCGCGCAGAGGGGCAATGGGACGTCTGTCCTTGCGGTACGTGCGTTGCGTCGGGGGCAGAGAAATAGAGGTCCACTCGAAAGGACGACGAAAGGAGGCACCCACGTCTACGAGAGAGTTGTTGCAGTAGCCTCCGGCAGCAATACCCCTCTCAAGACCCCGGCCAAGACTGTCATGCGGTCCGCAGAAGCCTCCGGTAGTGAAACCCCTCTCAAGGCCCCGGCCAAGACTGTCATGCGGTCCCCAGAAGCCTCCGGCAGCAATACCCCTCTCAAGACCCCGGCCAAGACTGTCATGCGGTCCGCAGAAGCCTCCGGTAGTGAGACCCCTGTATGCCAGAAGAACCGTGCGTCTGTCTCCGATAAGCTGAAAGCTAATCTGGCTAAGGACTGGCCCTCTCCCCCAAATCACTGGTCCACTGGGGAGGGACGGGGGAATACCATGCGTGAAATCACGTTGCCTAAAAGCATGGAGACGTACATTCAGACATACAGAGGTCATTGTGAGGGTGTCGCACCGACAGTAAAATGGAAAGAGAATTGTCTGTCCAAGGTCAGCCGGATAAAGAACTTCCTCGTATTCATGGCCCATGGTGTTAACCGGCTGTCGATTCTCGCCAGGTTTATGTGTCACGACGTAAGCACTGCAGACCGGTTCTACGCGAATACGCCTGGAATAAAGGAGGGATTGAAGATCCGCTCCATGTTCAGGGCGGCAGCAGCTGCAGCACCATCATCAGAAGGAGGTCTACCACCGTCAGCTACCTCCGAAGAGGGCTCAGGGGCGGAGAGCAGCGATACCTCTTCTTCAGGGCCGGTTGATACTCCTGATGAGGGGACAGGGGCCGTGGACTCAACCTTTTTTCCCCGGTGCACCGTACAACTTAGACGGCTAATATGGCCCCCAGGCCCCTGCTAATCATATGTTTATTATTCTTATTATGTATATTTTGTATACTGTTTTTGTAAAAATCGTGTGATAATTAAATAAATAATAAAACATTAGTATAACCTTGAAGGTTCCCAGGGGCAGTTACAGTGCCAGGTATCAGACTTTTTAAACAATGTTTACCTGTGATTCAGACACCTTCCCTGGCTTGTAAAATGTGGTGAGGCGCCCTGGAGGTATCATACTATTTAAAACATGTATACCCAGGATTCAATCACTTTTCCTGGCTTGTAAAATGCGGTGATGCGCCCTGGAGGTATCAGGCTATTTTAAACAACTTTTCCCCGCCTTTCAAACACTTATTCCTGGGTTATAGCCTGTCATTTTGCACGAAATCATTTAACATTGAACCTCTCCTGAAAATGCACATATTCTGTATATTTCCAGGAGAGGTTAAATGTTAAAAGATATCGTGCAAAATGACAGGCTAAAACTCTCTTCCAGATGTTTGAAAACACTTTTCACAACCATTTAAACATTATTTCTGGCTTGTAAAGTGCAGTGATGAGCCCTGGTAGTATCAGACTATTTAAAGGGTTACCAGAAGCATGAGAATATCCTCCAAAGAAGGGGTGGTGGTGTCATGAATAAGGCTGAATATGGATGCCGATGGGCGGACGGTAAAGCACCGCAAAATCCACCCCCCTTTTAGGGTTACCAGGGGCATGAGATTCTGTAGGGTGTGGATGGTGGGTGGGGGGGGGGTGGGGGGCGGGGGTGGGCTGAGTTTGGGTGGGGATGGGGGGTGGGGTGCGGGGGGGGTGGGGGTGTGTGGGGTGGGGGGGTCGTGGGGGAGGGGGTGGGTTAGGTGGGGGGGGGAGGGCGATTGGGGGGGAGGTGGGGATGTGGTCGTTGGGGGGGGGTGTTGTGGGGGATGGGAGTGTCTTGCGTTGGCGGTAGGTCGATGCCGAGCGGAGTGTACGGGAACGAGTACAGTCAGAAGGTAGTTTATCTGGGGCCTCTTTTGTGGAGCCGAAATCGTGGGAGTTGTGGGGGCTTCGGGAGTCGTGGCCGAGGGAGGTGTACACGTGTGAGACGAGTACAGTCAGGAAGGTAGTTTAATCTGCCGCCTGGTTGGCGGGGCAAGCGAAATTCGGGGAGTGTGCGGGGCTTCGTGTCGAGTCGTTCGCGAGAGTGTAGCGTCGTGAGACGAGGGACAGTCAGAAGGTACAGTTTATGCTGGTGCCTCTTTGTTGGAGCTCAAATCGGGGAGTGTGTGTGGGCTTAATCGTCGAGTCGTTGCCGAGCGGAGTGTACGTGTGATGACGAGTACAAGTCGAAGGTAGTTTATCTGGCCCCTTTTGTGGAGAGAAATCGGGGAGTGTGTGGGTTTGCCTTGCCTGGATCTCTGGAGGCCGCGTTGAGGTCACCGTGAAGGTATTTGGAGCATGCCGGGCGACTCAGGGCCCGGGGGCCTGAATTCGTGAGGGGGTGCCCTGATTTGGGTCTACTAGTGT